TTCTAAAAGTGATTACAACTAAATCGTTTCTCTGTGTTGTTATCGTTGTAGCTGTGATGTGGACTTCCGTAGTCTCAAAGAATTAGAATGGTTTGGGGTCAACTTATCTTAAAGGGATAGTTCACCCAAAAATGAAAATTAAGTCATTAATCACTTACCCCCATGCTGTACGAACCCCGTAAGACCTTCGTTCGTCTTCGGAGCACAAATGAAGATATTTTTTATTAAATTTGAGAGGTGGATCACTGCTACATAGGCTCCCTAAGGGATCGAAACTTGATGGCCCAGAATGTCAATTAAGAAAATGATTAAATATTCCATGTGACCACAGTGGCTCAAGCATAAGTTTATCAAGCGGCGCGAATACTTTTTGTGCGAAAAAACAAACAAAAATAATGACTTTATTCGACTATTCCTTTTCTTCCTTGTAGACCTGAGACGAAAGTTCGAGAGATTTCCACGACGCATGCGCGAGAACTGAACTGAAGTAGTTGAAGGAGATCGCAATTATCGCGCATGCGTCGTGGAAATCTCTTTATTGAAATTTAGTTCAATAAACAAGAAGTCAATGTTGAGTAATTTATATGTTGGACCCAGTATCGCGAGTTACTTCGTCTACTGTATTTACAAAAATAGTTCCAAATTCCGAACAAAATAATAGCAGGATCAACCACTCCATGCAGTGGTGCTTTATTCCTGAATGAATCACAAAACAGCTGAATTAAAAATAATTCAATGACTATAAACACTTGTCGCCACCTACTGTCAAAAAAAAGGTAACCTGAAAAAGGTTTCACTGAAAAATCCAAGCCACAGACTGTCTATTGTCTAGACCACGCAAACATGGAAAAGTCCAAAAATGTAGTCCTAACGCTATCCCTAAACCTAACCCTACCCATAACTTAATCCTAATAATCAGAGTGAAAGGACAGGTGAATAACAATAACGTAAAGGCGCCTAACCCTGGTTTTAACCCAAATCTATACATAATACAATACAGTACAATACAATATTTATTTATAAAGCACGTTTAAAAAACAGCGAAGGCCGACCAAAGTGCTGTACAAAGGAGAAGATCTACAATGCAGTACAGGACTATAGTAGTAAGCAACTAAAAGTCAGGGAGAATTAAAACCAAGAGAGAATAAAAAGTACTTTAAACAGAATTTATTTATGGAAACTGAGAGAGCCAGACTGATATAGAGGGGCAAACTGTTCCAGAGATTTGGACCTGCAGTTGAAAATGCACATTTAGGGACAGTAAGAAGGCAGTGGTCACTGGATCTTAGGGTACGAGACGGAGTGTACAGACAGAGCAGGTCGGTCAGGTACTGAGAGAGAGGCCAGGTTGTTAAGACCTTTATACACAAAAAGTAACATTTTAAAATCAATTCTAAATTTGATAGGTAGCCAGTGAAGTTTAAATAAGATGGGTGATCAATTCATTTTTGCGTGTCCCACCCAGTGAGGAGAGTGTAAGCGAGAGAGAGAAGACTGGGATAGACCAAAGTAAAGAGAATAGCAAAAGTCGAGTCGAGATGTTACAAATGCATTACTATTTGGAGACTGTGCTGTAGTTAAAAAAAGGTTTCACTTTGGAAAGTTGGCAGAAATGGAAAAAGCATGACTTTACAACAGCACTGATCTGTTTCTCAAATTTTAGGTTGTGGTCAAACAAGCTCAGGTTTTGAGCACATTGAGTTTCATACGTTGCGAGGGTACATTTCGGGGTGGCCCAAAAATGATTGATTATCTCGGTTTTATTTTCATTTAAATTTAGAAATTTACTTGAAAGCCAAAGTTTAAGTTCACTCAGACAAGCAAGCAGAGGTTGTTATGGAACCTTGTTTCCGCCATAATGAAAAATACCAAATGTAATTGCGACTTTTTATCTCACAATTCAGACTTTTTTTCTCACAATTGCGAGTTTACTTCTCGCAACTCTGTCATTATTTCTCAGAATTGCGAGATGGGAAGTCAAAATTGCGAGATATAAAGTCAGAATTGCGTGATATAAAGTCGCAATTGCGAGTCATAAAGTCAGAATTGTGAGATATAAAGTCAGAATTGCGAGAAATAAAGTCGCAGTTGCGTGTTATAAAGTCAGAAATGCGTGATATAAAGTCAGAATTGTGAGATTTAAACTATTCTGAGGAGGAAAAAGAAATTTTACCCTTAGAATTGTCCTGATAAGTCGCAATTGTAAGTTTATATCTCACAATTCTGAGAAAATATGTCATAATTTCAACATATTAACTCGCAATTATGTGTTATAAAGTCAGAATTGCGAGATAAAAAGTTGCACTTTTGTCTTTTTTTCTCAGAATTGCGATTTTATATCACCCAATTCTGACTTTATATCATGCAATACTGACTTTATATCTCACAATTCTGACTTTACATCATGGATTTCTGACTTTTTATCTCACAATTCCAACTTTATATCTCGCAATTGCGACTTTATATCACGCAATTCTGACTTTTTATCTCGCAATTCTGAGAAATAAAGTCAGAATTGCAAGATAAAAACTCGCAATTGTGAGAAAAAAAGTCACAATTGTGAGATAAAAAGTCACAGTCATTTATTTTATTTTTTTATTCAGTGGCATGGCGGAAACAAGCTTCCATAGGTTGTAGACCATTTTTATCATTATGTTTTAGAGGAAAATAGATCTGCATATCATAGAGATGGAAGGATACTCCATATTTATTTAAGATGAAGCAAGTGGTAGCAAATACAGAATAAACAATAGAGGGCCAAGGATTGATCCCTGTGGGACTCCGTAGATAAACTGTAAACTTGTCCCTTATATCTGATTGGAATGTTGTTCCAGGAACATTTTGGTGAAATCACGAATTCACCCATTCACTCAAAAGCTCCTCGAGCATGTTTTAATGGAAATATCTCTTTTCCAATTTTCATAACTTCATCAACTCATCCATCTCTGACTCAATTATCTCTGTGCCTCCCGAAGCTCTGCCTCTCGCATTCTTGAAGATTAATCTCTGGACTGAAATAATGCATAAATCGTTTCATCTCATTGTTATTTCTCCTTTTCTTTTTATGAGCGTTCCTCCTGCTCGTCCTCTGCGGGGAAAATGTAGTTTGTAGTCTCTTATGTGATACATCAAAAGTTAAATGGGAGAAATAGATTAAATGGGAGAAAGTATATCCCTCTCTCCTGCTATCGCTTTCAGATCCTCTCTCCAGTCTATCACGTGGAGGAGGAGGAAGAGGATGGGAGATGAAAAGGTAATCCTTTAGTCAGAGAGCATTTCGTTTTAAGTGTTCATTTCCACATCATACTCAAGCCAATGGTTCTCCTAATGAAAGTGATCGTGGATGTTCTTACACCATCCTTTACGCAGCCAGAAAAAAACCCTTTTCATTCTGCCGTTGTGTCAAAAACGAAAGCACTGATTCTTAGAACTAATGACCTTGAGGTTAATCTCTCAACTACAAACTAATAATACTGTAAACAGCGCCAGATGAAGGAGAGAGAATTGAAATGAAAATCCTCTTTGCAGTGGTACCTACAGAAGGACAGCTATATAACTATTGATCTTAATATAACAACAAAAAAGCCAAATTTGGGGTGCAATTGCCTCTCCGTGTGGTTTACTAAAAAGTTAATGCAGCCATTATAAAAGGACCTGGTTTGGGTAGTGTGTTATTTATAGAATTACCCAACTGCTCCATGGCATTAATAAAGCAAACTAAACACCATTGAAATACATCGAAATGTCCTGTTAGACGAGACTATCAGATTAATTTTGATATCTAACAAAGACCGTAGCACATACAAATCTGCACTGCACTTTAATCTAAATTCTTCAAGTAGCTAAATACAGAATATATTTAAGTATGTACACTGTAAAAAAATATTGTTGGTTTAACTTAAAAAATTAAGTAACCTGGCTGACTTAAAAGTGAAGAGTTCAGATGCAAAAGCCTCTAAATGCCATTTGAAATTTTCTTCTAGAATGGTCATTTTTATCAAGCTTGTATATTTAAGTTCAGTAATTTCACTTAAATGGCAATTAATAGGTAATCTTCATTGCCATTTAAGTGAAATTACTGAACTTAAATATACAAGCTTGATAAAAATGATCATTTTAGAAGAAAATTTCAAATGGCACTTAGAGGCTTTTGCATCTGAACTCTTCAAGTGTTAATACAATGAAGGAGATTGATTTAATCAGCAGAAACTCAAAACTATATAAAGTTGATTTGACAAAAGAAAAAAAATGTTGTGATTACAAATCATGAAAATATTTTTTTTTTTACAGTAAAATGTAGAAAATAAAGAAGAAATGAGCTACTATTAAACCTATAAGCATTGGGGGACAACTTTGAAAATAACAAACACTACAATATAGCCAGGTCTAATGCGTAATAGATTACAAATAAATAGTGAGAAATGGCATGAAAGTTTAATTGACAGGTTGTCATAGCCTATATCTCCAATAGGCTGTCTGTGTTTTTAATTAAAAAAAAACGAATTTGTTTTAGCGTGCAGCTAAATATCAACTATTTTCTACAATATTTATAATGACTAAATGATCAATGAAAGTATTATAAAGTAGTCAAGCCTTGTTTTGCTGATATAGGCTGCTGTGAATGAGGCCTGATTGAAATGCCCTTCACCTTGACCTGGACACAGGTCATCCTGGCAACAGACGAGTTTTGAATTAGCCTAATATTCATATATGTTTGTGTTCTTACAAAGACAACCAAAAAGTATACTAATAGAGCAATTAACCTACATTTTGAGCGAATTCGCTGTGATTTTTATGTAGTTTCGTGTTTATGATTTATTTACCAATTAACAGCCAAACATCGAGTTTAATTCTACGTCGTATTGAACCACATCATGCACAACTATACTATCAAATGTTCATATGGTAAATGTATGTTTATTTAAATAATACAAGAAAAGCACTGAAACTAAGCCACTGGAAGTCAAATTTGAAGTTTGAAGAACGAAAACGACACTCACCGGCTCGTGCACAAATGTCATCACATAGTAGCCATAGTCCATTTAAGCGTCATGTCTATTCCATTTCAATTTCTTTTATAACACTGTTTTAATTTCAATTAATATTAAAGCACAAGCCAGATAAAACGGCTGCTGTTTGAGGATGCGTCACATTAAAACGCTTTGCGGCGCGTGAAAGTGTGGCGTGGGCGCTCTCTCTCCGCGTGCTCTGCTCCACGCGCGCGCTCACCAGCGGCCAGAAAAAAAAAAAAACTTTAGTAATCTGCATCCTTTCCTCTCCTCTCCTCTCTGCATCCTCTCATTCGGACTCTTACTTAGTCGTTGTTTCGTGCCATTGACACTCAAACTTACAGTAATGTTTCATTGTTACGTTATATTATCAGATAATGCTTGTTTCATATCAACGTCACTGCAAGTTTTAGCATTGGTGCAATGGATTTACACACTGACGAGATCGTTCTTTCATTCCATTGACACTCACTGGAACAAAAAGTTATTTTGGTGAAGTAATGTTGCACTGTTACGTCATATGTAGCTGCAAATATTTGGTTCATAACAACATCACAGCACGTTTTATTTCCATTAGTGCAAGTCGAAAAAAATATATAAATATGTATGGAATAAATGGGATTCCTCTTGCCCTTTAGCCTATCTTACATGAGGCAAAGAAAAAAAGAGAAAAAGAGATTGAGATTGATCAATGGAAAATGCTCTCCAGGCACGGAAACAGAAACAGAAAGAGAGGCTGACAGCGACAGACAGGCTAACAAAATGGAAGAGAAGCGATTGGCTGTGCAAAATACATTAATCATTTATGTAGGCTATTTGGTTATGTTACGGTCAACATGTGTTGCTCATAGTTATAGACTGATTGTTTTATGTTTTACAGCCATAAATGACATAGTCTGTGGAGGGCTTTGATTAGTCCATCGAAATAAATTTAAACAAATTTGCATAATTAATAAATTGAAATAAAAGTCAACGTCATTTAAAGGGATACTCCACTTTTTTTTTTTTTTTTTTTGAAAATAGGCTCATTTTACAACTCCCCCAGAGTTAAATAGTTGATTTTTTACCGTTTTCAAATCCATTCAGCCGATTTTCTGATAAAATATCTGCACCAGACAGTTTCTGGTCTCATTGACTTCCATAGGAAAAAAATATACTATGGAAGTCAATGAGACCAGAAAAGTCTGGTTACTGATATTCTTCTAAATATCAGAATATCGGCTGAATGGATTCAAAAACGGTAAAACTCAACTGTTTAACTCTGGGGGAGTTGTCAAATGAGCCTATTTCCAAAAAAAGTGCAGTATCCCTTTCATTTCTTGTTACCAGTGAGAGGTTTCACCTATGAACCACTGGAGGGCAGAATGTTTCTATGTCATCATATTCAACAAGCTCTTTCTGTTTTGATTTAATAGACACTGAGAGAATAATAATGTTTTCTTTTGATTGGCCACTTGCTGAACCAGTGCAAATTTTGACAGGTAACACGGTTCACTGTGAAAAAGTGGCTTGTTACATAAGTGCAAAAAAAAGAAACTCACCTGGACGAGGTTACTGCATGCGACTGGCTGAAGCAGTGGAATGAATGTGCCTCTAAATGTAAAAGAATGTGTGGTTTTACAATAAAACGGACCTGTTTTAAGTTTTATAAGATGAAAGTGGCCTTAATAGGGGTGTTAATTTGCAGTTTTAAAGTCCTATTTATAATATAACCACATACTTTTTTTGTACAGCCTATAAACTTTAGGACATTTGGACTTGTTTTTGAGAATTGCTGTACCACACTCTGTCTGAAGCTTATTTCCCACATCACTATCATTTGTTTTGCCTGATTAAATGCTTTCTACTTTTAATTTTAAAAAAGAATATTACATTAATTAAATAATAATATAACGACATACCAAAAATAGAATTAAGTTATAAAAACAACAAAGTACAAAGCTAAATTTCACCTGAATGGACATCAAACTGAATGTTCTTCCACTCACATGATGTCTGAATTGTGTAAGAACAATAATTTAAGGTCAAACACAAACTGCTTTTGGCTATGCATAGAGGGTCAGATTCATTACAATAAAATAAAAATAGCATAATTAATAATACTGGAATTAAACATTTCTGTATTCGTAAAAAAAAAAAAAAAAAACTAAATAAGTCATACAGTCTTCCATGTGAGTTATTAGATAGCATGATTGGTTAATTTCCATGGCAACTGGGATTATAAAATCTAATTTCCATAAATGCAGATTTATTCCAAATCCTCAGCTACCTTTCAGCACATGTTCCGTGCGGTCAAGGAACAAGATAAACATCCATCTGAACAAAAGCCCATCTCCACTGGAGTCTGATTCAATCTCTGTAACTTGGGTTTGCCAGATCTATAAAACGCTGAACTGAGAGTCAGATTCACTCAGTTTGTTTTTTGTTCTTGCAGTGGAAGAAGCTCAAAAAATGACAATTTTGGGGAGAATTTTATTTAGATAAATTGGAGTTTACTAGAAGCTCACAGTAGGATTTAACCCTCTATGGCATGACTTTTAGCCTTTGGGGGAGCTTCCCTGATAATATATCCATCATAAAATGTGTCCCATTTTACACCAAACAAACACTACACACACTCACACACTACACACACACATTACTTTGTTGACTGACCCCTAACTGACCCCTGGGCTGGCCTTTCTTTCTGAACACTGTCTCTCAAATCTGATTCAGAGATCCACTCTTCCTGACTCTCCTCCTCACTCTCAGAAGGAATGACCCTAACCATGTTCCTTTTCACCCATAAAACGTTCTTGAGTTTATTTCCTGCAAGTATCAGTATCGCAAAAACATTGACTATCGATACGCTCAAGTCATGTCAGAAAGATTGTGATTACGAGTTTAATGCACATGAACGTCATCACAAAGTCGTAATTACGGTAAAGTTACAATTTAACTTTGTTCTTCAAAATGTCACATATCAGGGTTCAAGTTTGAGCAAAAGCTTGGAGTGAGATCACACGCGGTTAGGGGAGGAGCCATAATGAAGCCTCGCCCCACCCGCCCCCAATTTTACCCATTGTTCATAATTAACTAGAACAAATTAAAATTATAACAATTAGTAAATCTGATAAATGACAGAGCAATTCATCACATCAAATACTCTTTAATGCAGTATTACAAATATAGCTAACCAAAAATATAACAAATTGCTCCAAAGTATTTCAACGTGTTATTGCACCCATTGACTAAAAAATACTATTGAAGTCAATGGGTGCCATGAACTGTCACCGACATTCTTCAAAATAAGAAAGAACCTCATGGAAGAACATGAGGGTGTGATGCAGAGTCAGAGGCGTTCGGATCCATGTGCAGATATTTTATTGAAACACACAAGCAAACAGAGCGGAGCAGAAACAGTCAGGGGAAATGCAGAACTCAGAGTCGTTCCCAGGAAAGGGTCAAGGCAGTCAGCTAACGTTCATAAGAGAGTCCTTGGGAACGGGCTGGGATCGAAGAACCAGGAATACGAGGAAATTACCAGGAGATTGCTCAGAGTTGCACGCCATGGCAGAGACAAGACTTCACAGGGTACAAAGGAGAGCGAGGTCCAGATAAAGGGAGCTGAGTGAGAACAGGTGGCAGTGATGATGACGGGGATGAGTCATGGAAGGTGATGATGAGTGGTGATGGGGATGATGGGAAGTGAATTGAACTCAGGGGAGAGTGATCTGGAGAGACCAGAAGGAGGTGTCGCGGAGAGCACTGTGACAGAGGGTGGGTATGACAAAATTTTCTTTTTTGGGTGAACTATCCCTTTAAAAAAAAACAGTAAATGAGACAAATCAGTGATCTCATAAAACAAATGCACGTTACTTAGTCTATTGTAGTGAAATGAAACAATCCAGGATTTAAACAGGCTGTCTCTTTGTAAGTGAGTCATTAAATCATTCAGTCGATCGATTTTGAATCAACAGAACAGTGAAATCGAATCAACAGAACATTTGAAATCGAATCGGCAGCATCTGAAATTGCATATTCTCTGATAGGTACTTCTTTTGAATAAGTAATTACTTTGCGGCTGTTAAAAAGTATGCTCTATATGAATGTAATCTGGATGATTCGTTATGTTGTCATTTTCATATGACTTCATCATTTGTGTAACTTCCATTTACAAATTCTCTCCCATGGCCTTATGGTAAAGTGTCAATTGGAGTACTTCAGAATCTCACTGAATGTAGTAGGGGACTCTTTGTCTACTGTTTTATTATGAATACTGTGAATTTGGACATACTACTATTTTCATAATATCTTTTACCCTATATAGGAGGGAATGCATATTCAGAAGCAGCTATTCAATTATTCAATTAACTGATTCGTTCAAAGCCACTGATTCATTCAAGAACAAAATAAGTTACTCTATTTATGAGTGAGTCATTGAATCATTCACTCAATCTATTCATTAAAAAGCACTTATTCATTCAGGAACAAAATAAGTTACTCTCTTTATGAGTGAGTCACTGAATCATTCACTCAATCTATTCATTCAAAAGCACTGATTCATTCAGGAACAAAATAAATTACTCTCTTTATGAGTGAGTCATTGAATCATTCACTCAATCTATTCCTTCAAAAGCACTGATTCATTCAGGAACAAAATAAGTTACTCTCTTTATAAGTGAGTCATTGAATCATGGACTCAATCTATTCATTGAAAAGCACTGATTCATTCAGGAACAAAATATTTTACTCTCTTAATGAATGAGTAAATTAATCATTGAATCATTCACTCAATCTATTACTTCAAACGCACTGATTCATTCAGGAACAAAATAAGTTACTCTCTTTATAAGTGAGTCATTGAATCATTCACTCAATCTATTCATTCAAAAGCACTGATTCATTCAGGAACAAAATAACTTGCTCTCTTTATAAGAGAGTCGTTGAATCATTCACTCAATCTATTCCTTCAAAACCACTGATTCATTCAGGAACAAAATAACTTGCTCTCTTTATGAGTGAGTCATTGAATCATTCACTCAATCTATGCATTCAAAAACATTCAATTAATCATTGAATCATTTGCTCAATATATTCCTTCAAAAGCACTGATTCATTCAGGAACAAAATAAATTACTCTCTTAATGAATGAGTCAATTAAT